TGTTAAATAAGTTTAAGGTCTACTTTGTACAGAGAATTGGAAGCACAGCTGTAACCAGGTGAGGCGACAGCCTGGTTGTGATTAAGTTTCCTGATGTTGTAGTGTAGACAAAGCCCTAGCACTTGTGGATCCCACTCCAGAGCTGCCTGCGTAGGATTATCTAAAATAACCCAAACCTGTTACTAGTTTGTAGATAACTGCGAGATTTTTAGCAGGGAAAGCCGGTTCTATCAAGCGCTCTATAAAATGTATCTCTAGTGCCTTGTGTGTATATATTCTTTTTAACAATTTAAACAAATAAAAATAAGACTATCCAGCTTACACAAGTTATTTCATCTATAAGCCAAAAGCATTACTACCCTATGTGGTCCTGATCCTCTTCCCACTGAATCCAATGGGAATTTTGCTGTTGATTTCAGTGGGAGCAGTGTCAGCCTTGAAATCTGTGCATCATCATAGAATATCAGAGTTAGAAGGGACCTCAGGAGGTCATCTAGTCCAACCCGCTGCTCAAAGGAGGACCAATCCCCAGACAGATTTTTGCCCCAGATCCCTAAATGGCCCCCTCAAGGATTGAACTCACAACCCTGGGTTTAGTAGGCCAATGCTCAAACCACTGAGCTATCCCTCCCCGCAGAAAGTTCCCTTCTGTGAGTGAATGTCCTGGAGCACAAACATTGTAATGGCTGCTTTTCCTTATATCCAGGAGGTCTGGGTTACTACGTACTGGTGCTGTCTTGCCCATGCTGAAGGAATCAGCGGCAGAATGGAAGCGACTGAGGCAGGTGGGAAGGTATGATTCCTTTTTTAACCTCTGCTGTGAACACGGGTCCCGTGAAAGGGCATGCATCCAGCCCCCACTGCTTTCCAGTGGTTCCTCTGAAGTGCTGGGGAGCATGGGGTATATGTAGAGGCCGCCACGAAGAATAACTTTTAGAGGTTTTTTTAAGTGGTTTGAGGAAGAGAATAGTTGTGACTTCCTCTCGTTTTTTAGTAAAGGAGACAAATGTGACTGGGACTTTCCAGGTACATTCAGTGATCACTTTATTGACTTCAGTGGATTGTACACTGCTGTCCTGGTTAGCTAAAGTTCTGTGGAAGCTGATCTGAAAAGTCTTATGTTCCTCTAATAAAATATAGGCCTCACAACCAGAGGATAGGGCTTTTTAATTTAGCTGGTGTTGGGCCAGTTGCCATATCTGTGCACATCAATTTGTTTGTTAAATGTTGATTGAACAAAGGGAGCTGCATTCCCCTTCCATTTGATTTCCAGCTGTAAACACAACATTATAAATGTCAGGAAAGTGGTTATTACAGTTTACTTTGATTTTGATGTAGAGATTGTATAATATAGAGGAGCCACATAATGTGATTGTAATAGTGTTTAAACTTCAAATTAAAATGGAAAGGCTGATAATTTTATAGATCTCATTCCTAAACACACACATGCTCAGTTTTCCTTTTTAAATGTCACGCTATAATTACATCCCGGTTTAGTGGTACTCAATTGGCACTTTCTTTAAGCCTGACTGAAACTTTAGCAAAAAGTAAATATATCTAATGGGAGGGGCCTTGAGACACTAGCCCTTGTGGGTTTATAGCATATTTTTACCTTTCCTTAAAACCTATTTGTAATCTCTATATTTCTCTGTAGACAGGAAGCTCATAGCTATCTTGTTCCAGGGTTTTTAGAATAGCCTTTGTTCTGATGAAGTAGTGCACTGTAGTTAGGTATCATTGGTCTACAGAAGTTTCTCTTGGCAAAGGCCCCCAGGTGTCAGTTTTCTTTTGCGTTCTAGTGTCTACTGTGACCATATGGACACTCATTTGACAGGAGTCTGTGACCCTCAAAACAGCTCAGTGAGTCATGGAAAGAGTGAATTCACCCGTATAGAGTTTAATCTGTCCTTCTCTGATCCATTTAATTTCCACTTGACAGGTTCTACTCAGTTACATGGTATCTGACCTGGCCTTGGAAACCTAGCAACAGGCAGAACACTGCATTATGTAAAGAGTCATCCCTGCAGATAAAGGATGAACATTAATATTAATGAGGCTGTTACTCATTTACGCTTGTGGATATTAAAGCTGTTGTATAACACATGGTTCATCTCTCAGGAATAATTGCCTTTCAATGGAAATGCAAACAGCAACATCCACTGTGTGCTTAGGAAAAGCTGCTCTTTTCTAATACAACGTAATTTCCTTGGGGGAACAACATATTTTTATGGGTCCAGTCTTCTATTTGTTAAGCATTTACTAATCTTAAATTAGGAATCGTTTTATAATCTGATGAACAAAATGATTATTTTAAGCAGAGATGCTCCAGTTCTGAAATTTCCTAGACTTGGGGTGGTGGTGGTGGTGGTGGTGCTGGGGGGTTAGATCTGTGGTTTTGGATCAGCACGTTATAACAGGAAAAGGACCAGCCTCAGATAAAATGTATGGCTGTTTAAAACAAATTACATGGAGCTATAAATGTACATGATACTTCTGCAAATATTAGCAGTGCTTGAATCCAGGATTTAGATGTGGACTCCCCTCTTATTTTAAGCATATCTAGTATTAAATAGAAATGTTAAGGTATGGGATGTAGAATATAGACCCTCCAAAAATTCATTCACCGATTTCTCATTAAGTGAATTGATATAGTTATATTACTATTAAGCATAGCTTCAGCAGAATAGGTTAAGATTAGCTCCTTAATCATGTGTGTTACATATATGACTTAATCTGCTGGTATCCCTCTAATTCAAGCTATTGCCATTGTTCCATGTTGCCGTTTGCAGTCAGTGTGGAAAACACCCATAGTCCTGTGCTGTGATGTTTGTGCTCAATTTCTGCCAAAGATCAGGTTTACACAAGTCCAGGATTTTGGTTTGGGGAATTCTCTAGTGAAGAAGGAACTGTTCTTATGCAGCTGTGCTGAGCTCGGATATACAGCTGTGACATCAGAGATCTGTGAAAGGACCAAGGAAAAATTAGAACACGGTTTTTATTCTCTCTCAGAAATATTGAGAGCTCTATTCTGTTCATTAGGTTTTTATACCAGTCCACACAATGTAATGGTATTTAGTTGATTCCACAAAAAGAGCAGAATCATTCCCTAGATATGATCCTCAGCCCTCATCAGATGTGACCACCCGCTAAAGATGAAAGCAGTTAGGTCTCCATTTACATTCTTTGGTCCCTCCACTGTGATTGACAACAAAATGGCCACTCAGTGCCAATTTTTATATTGGTGATTTTTGTGACATCTACTCAAAGCTTGATTGAGCCTGTCAGCTCATTTCAGATGGGAGATGTGACAGCCAGTGCATTATCTCTGGTCACTATCATTAGTTGCTAAAGATTCAAACTAGCAGCCTAGAGATACAAGGCTCTGTATTTCCATTGCTAATCTGGAACCACCCAGTTCTTCACAGAACAACTTTCACAAACTGCAGCATGCAAATAAAAGAAGTGTTCTGAGGGACTACAGTATCTCTGTGACTACCCTCCTATCCATCCTCCCACTGTTCAGAATCAGCTTAAATCAAACTGTGAACTGAACCTTAAAATAAATGTCAGACAGGAAAAAAGAGAGTCATCTTGCATGGGATTTACAGAAAAACACTTTATTTTTTAAAAACTTATGCTCGCCTTTAACTATGTACAAATTGTTGTTAATCACAACACAGGAAAACTAGCTAAGGAACACACACCTCCAGGTTCTACAATCATACCTAGCCACTAGAGCTTCATTCTTGTAGATACCAGGATTCATCAAAATCTCTTGATGAGTGTCCAGCTCATATCTGTATGTTGTTTCTTCTATCTAAGGCTTTGTCTACACTGGCAAGTGAACAACAAAACTTTTGTTGTTCAGAGGTGTTAAAAAAAACCACACACACATGCCCCCAAAAGACAAAAGTTTTGTCGAAGAAAAGTGCTGGTATGAACAGCACTTTGTTGGCAGGAGTGCTCTCCTGCCGACAAATCTACCACTGCTTGTTGAGGGTGGATGTTTTTTGTTGCTGGGAAGAGCTCTCTCCTGCCGACAAACAGTGGCTACACTGCGCGCCTTTTAGCAGCATGGTTGTACGGGCACAGCTGGGTCGCTAAAAGCTGCGTAGTGTAGACATAGCCTAACATATGTACATCCCTTTCCTCACAGTCTTCAACAAAGGAAATCCAGCCAACCACTTTAGAATCTTTAACACAGAGATAGGGCTCAAAGAAGCCTTTGAATACTGAAGCAAAGCTTGTAAAGTGGCATCAATTCACACGTCCGATAGAATCAAAACATAGGTCCCCTAGGACAGTGCATTTCCTGCTGTTCTTTCCGTGGGACGGCCACACTCTGTATTTAACAACACAGTAAGTCCTGTACTATCTGCCATGCTATACATCCTAATCACCCAAAGGTTAGATTGTGTGCACTGTTTGGGGCGACATTTTCAAATGATGTAGAAATTGCAGGTAGTTCAGAATACAGTGACTTGCTTATGAGCTGGGCTTTCATGAAAAGAGCACAGGAGACCAGTGCTTCATGATCTGCCCAGATGAAATGTGTGGCGTTATTTATGACATTTAAAGCTCTTAAAGACTTCAGTCCCAGCCACTTGAGAGACTACCTCTTTCTCTTTGTATGTTGCCAGAACCGTTGTGGTCATCTGAGGTGCTGACTGGTCCCTCCTGGTATAAACCAAAGGCAGCGAGTGGCAGAGTGTCATTGGCTTTGGAGCTCTCTTTCTCCCTTGGTTCATGACATGCCCATATTTGGAACCTTCAGGGCATGCTGCAAAACTTAAAGTAACCTTTTCTTTCGAGCTTTTCCAGGGGAATTGAGTGCTTTGGGAATGAGGTAGGGTGGAATGGGAGATGTTTATTGGAGCTGAGCAGCAGGAATATTAATATCCTGTATTCTATTCGAACGGGAGCAGTTTGCAGGGGAGGATGTTATAGTCTTATTTTGACTTGTTGAGTAGGTTTTTCATTGAATATTTTTACAGCAGGCACAGCACTGGATAGGCGCATTGTAACAATAAATAAGTAGGACAACTTAAAATAATGCCATTAAACCAGGAGATGACTAATTTGTAACTATATTCATTAATGAATGGCCATGCAGGAATATCACAAATCAAGTGTTCTCTTGCCTGCTGCTGTGAGCAAACATCTTAATAAAGCTAGTGAGATAATGTTGCCTAGGTGTGATATGCTTTATATTTACAGTTCTCATACTAAAGATGCTGCTAATTAAATATATACAGGTTTCCCAAGAAAGCAATATAACCTATCCTGAAAAAAAAATGCACATTTGCCAATATGCTTGTTCTGTTCTGTTCTAGGCAAATCTATCTGTTGCTTTCAATAGCCCAAGTCCTGTCAGGATCTTCTTCTCTTCATCCAGAAAATCGACATAATTTATATTCATCTGCTCCTCCATTTGTTCTCTTGATTTCTGTCCACCAGCCACTTTCTGAGGAAAAAGTAACCAATAGTTCATTATTAGCTGCTGTTAGCTATGAAACATTAATACGATTCCATTGCTTTGCAGTCAGTGATTGTCAATGCTGACTGCATCATTGAGAACCACATGCACAGATCTGCCATTTCATCAGCCAGGTAACATCATTTATTAGTCATGTCAACAGAGCTATTGGATAGATTTAATTCTCCAAGCCCTTGCAATAGTACCTCCTACGGACAAGCCTCATTGTCTGTTCAAGGCTCACTTCCTTTTACATACCACACAGGACTCCAGGTATATAATGCTCTATATAAAGCTAATGTTAACATTATATAATACATAGGTTGAGAAAAGAGTGTCTGTACATCTGGGTATAGTGCTTAGATTATCCACAAATACCATGTTTGTTTTTAAAAGTCAGATGATACATATAGTACATAATCAGCAATAACCCAAATTTAGGTGAATAAATTTAAGAATACAGTTTAGATATTAGCATCCAAGTATTGGGTACGTCACTCATGCAAAGCTGTACAGAGAGATGGTTGTGGAAAGCAAAATATATCAATGAGTGAAGATAGCCCCTCAGTAATTGAGGATTAGGGTAGGGTGTCCATCAGGGAACTATTTCAGTTACTTTCCTTAGTGCGCTTCTCATCATACTACACTTCCCTCTCTCTGCAAGGGGGAATTGTTGCATCTGGCATATCCCATAGTCCTCTACTACTGCCAATGGTAATAACAGTGTTGTATGTAACACACTCCCAACAAGGTGATATGGAGGGCACACAAACGAGAAAAAACAAATCTGAGTAAAACATTAATTAAAATATCAAACTGGAAAAACATCTCTATCCGACTGTTATAATTTAATAGTTCTAGCTTTATGTATGTAGGACTCAGGCCTGCAACCCTCATTCATGCCAGTAATCATCACTTACATGAAGAGTCCTACTGAGTCCAATGACACTACGGCTGTATGTAACTAAGGGCTGAAGGTTTGGGGCCTCTGCCTGCTGACTTTAAAGAATAATACTTACAAAAATGGCACCTAAATTAAGATTTCAAGTGTACAGCTAGGGGAAAGGGGAAAGCAAATTAATAAGAGTTCTCAAACGGGGTCAAACTGATCTCCACTCTAACTCTATTGAAGTCAAAGGGAGTGCTGGCTGAGTAAGGACTGAAGGGTTAAGCATGACCTAGTACAGTATATTCTCTTCCCCAAATGATGGACTAGTCTATAAATATGAAAGTGGTCAGTTGGATTTACTTAGAAAATGCTAAACAAAAGCTATTTTTAATTTATAAAGCCTAATAGATGGAAATACCAGAGGAAATTTTACCTAGAGCAAAGAGAGAGGCATATTTTAAAAATCAAAATAATAAACTAGCTTTTCTACCTCCTGAACACAACTTACTGTCTTCTTCCTCTGTTTCTCCAGCTCCAATTCCTTTCTTTCTTTGGCTCGGAATTCTTGCCGCTGTTCAAAATAATCCAGATGTTTGACCTCTCTCTCAAAGTAATGAAGAACACTGGCACGCTATTAACACAAAGGCAATCATGGTTTGTGGTGATCACAGTGAATCTTAATTATTGCACTTTTCAGCACATAATCCATCTACAGTAATATTGCATTGCTTTAAAGCATCTTTTTTAAATTTGCAGAACTAAATAAGAAATTCTGTAATAATGTAATACATCGACCGTTTCCTGATGAACCTGATAATGCTGTTATCAGTTTTCCTATCCTAGTGTGGGTCTATGCACAGACTTGCAGTAAAATAACAAAATGTCTGGATTAAAACTGATTTTAGGTATTTTTGGTGCAAGTCTGTGCACGGCCAAAGTCACTTTTATAGTCTCAATAACAAACTGACTTTATCCATTCACGTTGTGAAACAAGAGTGACACCTCACAGGTTTGCACCAAAATAACTAAATTGGTTTTACGATAATGATTTCAGTTAAATCAATCCAGGTCTGTGTGTAAACTAGCCCTGAGTTACCTTTTATGCACCAAGTCCCCCCACCCCACCTCTCCACTATCAGAGTTATTTGAGTTGACTGTGCACCAATTTCCCTAACACAACTGTTCAAGATCCTAGAGTTTTTTAACAGAATGTAAAGATTTTACAGTAAGTAGATAAATATTCACAACTCTGTCCAGTAAAGCCCTCTACTCACAAAACAAATACTGTATGGGTAGAAGCAGCGCAAGTTTCCCCTCACTGGAAATGTGTCCCTAACCTGAACTGGAGAGGTTCTCTTTACTGAGCCCAGGGTGCCAGTTATCACCAGTATTCATATTGTTTCATTTTGGTTACATACCATAACTTCATAGTAAGTTTACAATATACACGAGGACATAAATGGTAAGAGGAAGGTTTGGGATAGTGAGGAGGAGTGGTTTGGGGAAGGAAAGAGAATAGGGAGAACAGAATAAGCAGCAGAAAAAATTGTTAGAATGAGTTAGATGGGGCCCCTAACTTGTTTTCTGGTGGGGAGAAGGAGCTGGGAGAAACTGAATGAAAGCAGTAGAGAGAGAAGACATGCAAATTCAGCTCCTAATTTTGCAAATTATTATTGATGCAAATTATTTATTATTTGTAGTATTACAGCACCAGGCCCCCATTATGGTAGACATTGTACAAACACACAGAACAAGACAGTCTCTGCCCCAAAGAGCTTATAATTTAATCGTTTTTACTCAAATGAGCAGTCCCAATGAGTTTGTGAGGGCTAGTTCTGTAAGAGTTTGCAGGAACATATCCTAAAAGATCTAAAGTCAGTTCCTCAGCTGGTGTAAATCATCATGGCTCAATTGAAGTCTCTGACATTCTTGGAGCTATGCAAAATGTATAGGAAAAAAATCAAGGCAAATGTATAGAATGTAGTTTATTAAACCTGGTGCCATTTTATGCACGTGGCAAAAAATGGTGTTTGTACAATTTAGACACTTTGTCTACATTTTTCCCATTGCCTGGTTATAATGATGGAGTTCTGCCAACTCTGCTTTTTGCAACAACTGGTTTTCCTCTGACGTCTCCCCTCTGAGGACTTACCAGGTCCAGCTTTGGTTTGTGAGATGTTATGAGATCGTGGCTGTGGATCATCTCGAACACAAGTTAATCACCTTTAATATGTAGAAATCCAATAACCTGAAAGGATGTGCCTGAAAAAGAACTTCATGAAACCTCACAACATATGTAGTCACTTAGAGGGTAAGTAGAAAATGTTACAAACCTCATTACTGGAAGGGCGACTTAATGTCCAAGAGATTTCTAAAACATGCAGTGTTCCAAAGTCGTCAGATATGGCTAAAAAGTGCTGCTTTGCTGTAAGATTATGAAAACAAAATAAACAATGATGCTATTACTAAGGATGCAGAAAGTAAATTAAAATGTTTGTGTGACCCCCACACTGCAGGACATAAGCCAGCCGCTAACTGATAGGCTAAGAAGAAAATTCCCTTATAAATTATTCTGTAATTGTCCACTGTGGGTATTTTTGCATCTTCCTCTGAAGATGTGGTCCTGGTCATTGCCAGCTATTGGATTAGATGGGCCAGTGACCTGACCCAGTATGACAATTACTGTGTTGGCATCTTTTTTACTGATTAACTTTTCAGCTAAGGCCTCTATTCATACAGAATTCCAAATATGGTTATTTAAGTCATTGGATATTAATTTTATTGTGGTTGTGCCTAGAGAACCTAATCACAGATTGGGACTCTACTGTGTTAGGCATTCTGCCCAAAGGAAAGATGGTTCCTGCCCCAAAGCGCTTACGATCTAGGAAGGGTCAAGGAGCTTGTCTGCAGTTTCCATGATTTCCCAGGGAACAGGCAAGTATAATTTGAAAACTCTTATGTAAAGTTTCAGGTGTTTCTCTGAATCTATTAAAAATAATGTGAAAGATATTTTATTTTATTTAAGATGCACAGTTTCAGCCATAAAATACTTAAACCTAATAAAGCTGTTGATAAAATGCTTAAACAAGTGTGCACATCTATCATTTTAAACAGAGAGAGTGAATAGCTCCCAAAGACTCATTTTTGTTACCTTTTTTTAGGTTTTGTTTTTTTCAGCAAAAAATAGCTTTATTTTGTCTTGTTTTTCTAATAATTAAATGTCCCTTATTACATAGAAATATATTTTTACCTTTTCAAACTTGCTTAATAGAAACAATATTTTTGTAACAATATTAAAAAATAAAAGAAACTGTGCCTAGTTGCTTGTGTCATGATAAAAACATGAAGGCCCCAATGCTGAAAAGATTTATGCATGTGTTTTACTTTATTCACTGTGCATAGTTTCACTGACTTCAGTGGAACAATGCACAGTGTGTAAAGTTAAGGATATACATAAGCCTTTCCAGAATCATGGTATAATTTATTTTTAAGATACAGTGTAATGGAAAAGTGTAATCACGACAACATACAAGAGACAATCCAGGGTTTGATGCAGGTGATCATTGATATAGAGATGTTCTGGGTCTGGGATGGCTCATGTGTTTTCTCCAGTAGGTCCCAAATATCAATATTTCCATCTTCTCTACCAATGAAGAAAACTCCTGCTCTTGATAAGGACCAATGTCCTACAGTATATCTTTTTGATGAGCAGCATGATTGAAGGATTGGGCCGCTCTTAATTAAAAAAAAAAAAGTCAATGTAACAGAAACCAAAACAGTCAAAACCAAAAAACCAACCCAGTCAGAACTCTTTCCAGACTCCTGCTTGTGTAATGTGAGAACCATTACCATTTCTGAGTGATCCCACTACACAAGTAATTATGGTGTCAAAACCAGCCTGTATATTGTTGACTGGTAAAGAGAAGTGTTGTAGGGAAGTGGAAAAGTTGATGCCCATTCCCTCAGTTGAGGGAGTCTACCAATTGACAAACAAGACAAACAAAAAATCTGGGTTTTGCTAGATCCAACTAAAGTCCTGGATTCCCAGATGGCAGCAATAGTAAGAAACATATTTTTCAATATATGGCTGGCCAAAAGACCGCACCCATTCCTCACTGGTATGGATGCTACCATAGCCATCCTTGCCTTTGCTATCTTTAGATTAGAATAGTGCATTTCCTTTTCCCTGTAACTAGTCACTTTGCCCTTCGATGTGCTATAACTCCAAAGGGAAAAAAGAGATAATGAATTATTGTTTGCTGTCTCTTTTACTCTGTTGTTCAAATTACTTTTGTTTAATAGGGGTTCCTTAAGCCTGTAGTATTGTTTAGCACATCCTACCTCTACTCTCAGCTCCTCTGACTCACAACAGACTGCTTGAAATGTAAATAGCCTGGGCAGAAGCCACAACTGTCACAAAAGCTGGTATTAGAGAAAGTTGCTTCCTCCGTTGGAGCCAAGTTTACAACACTATTTTTAAAAGCTTCGCTCTGGCAGGAGAAAATAGCTTATTTTTTTAACCCAATTTATTTTCAAACTGGCCAGCTCTGCCATCTACCATCATTTCCGTGAGTATTGTCCCTGAGGCTATATCCTGTAGTTACTCTATTCTTTTCTCCATCAACTATAGTTTGTCTGTTGCCAAAAGTAACTTACTGTAACACCTTCTTTCCATATGGCAAAATTCCAGCCTCCAACACTAAGAATGATGTCTTTGAAAAATGGAGATCTTTGTATAGTATGGACAATTCCATCATGGATGGTGTATTTGTTAGCTGGTTTCTGACCTAATGGAATGAAAAGGACAATTATTTACTTGTAACTCTAGTTTTCTGAAGATAGTGAAATTGATCCTACAATCCTCAGCCTAGTAGGAGTTTTTCTGGAATAACTACTGTAGGATTGGATCCATTATCTTTATAGATTCCCTCTCCTGGGTTTTTGTGCCTCAGATCCATGTGCTCTGAAGCTGACTAGCACAGATAAAAGCGGCCTCAACCCAAATGTATGTCTGCAGTTTTGCCCAAGAAAACTGTGATATCAAACTTCCATAGTTGTGCCTGCCTGCCAATTGGTTAAAACACTTAAGTACCTGATTACAGGCCCTTGCATTTTGATTAGTTTAATACAATCTCTTCTCTTTAAGTCTCTGTTCTAATTTTCTAATAACTCTCAGGCATTCGTCCCCAAGGAAGGAGATCCTAGTGGGGCGCTATAGAAGGCACTGTACTTGTCTTTAGAGAATTTTCATTAATTCAGATATTATTAGCTTTATTATTATTTGCTTTATTGTTCAGTGTACATTTCTGTGAGATACTGACACCATTTGAGAAGTTTTTTTAAAATATGCTTTTTATTTATGTCTATAAATTGAATATCTTTAGTCATCATCTTATAAAACTATTAGTTCAGCAAGCATTTCTTAGTTCATGATAGAAAAAAATAAGACATTAAAATGCAACTTAAAACTTCTAGCTTCTCACAACGTAACCCTCTTTATTGAATCCCTCAGTTACAAACACTGGAATATTTTTAGTATCCGTCATTTAAATGCAAAAGCTACACTAATGTAGTTAAAATTAAAAAGCCAGGAAATACAGAAGTTTGAATTCCTGCAGCAACATTGTCAGCCAAGTTGCACGACATACATACTATGTATTTCCTTTGTTTTTATATTGTTAAATGAATGGTTTAATATTTAATATAGTATCATTTCAGTTTTTAATATACTACTCCGAATGTACCATGTGGCTAAGCTAATGTCACTCTAAGGACCTATTGGATTTGCAGACATTTTCATTTTAACTGTGCAGCCAAATGATGTATTAATATAGGTTTTTCAATTAATTTTGTTGTGTTTTAGAAAAATGCAATTTCCTATTTTAAATAGTCACAATTAAGCTTTCAAGTGAAAAGACTTGGGAAGGAGGAGATTTCTACCACTGCTATGTTTGCTGCTATTCTGTGTCTGGAAATGGTCTTCTTCAAAACTGTTTACAGGGCATCAGCTTACATTTAAGCTCCATCTATACAAACAAATTGACCCATTGCTGGCAACAGTTGCAACAGGTCCCACTGAGCTGGTGTTAAAAACATTTTAATTACTAGTGTAAATGGGACAAAACTGTTTTCAGGATCACTGATCATGCATTCGGTAATGGTATTGAAAAGGGTTTTCTTCATTCTATAGTGGCAGTCAAATCATTTTCAACACCAGTTTGGAGGCTCTTTGCTGATGCCTGTTGCCAGCAATGAGTCAAATTCCTATTGCAGACAGGGCAAGAGTCCGTCCTACAAAGCTTACATCTCCGTGTAATAAAACAAGGCTTAAATCTATGTCTGTATCCTATATATCCATCTGTCTGTCCATTAGCTTAAAAAGACAGTTTTAGTTGATGGTGAAAAACTTGAACTTACTAATCAGCCTTCCTGAGTCGCTCTCTCTTTCCATCTTCCAGTCGGAATAAATAACTTCACCATCCTGTGATGCCAGAGAAATCAAATAAATGCAAATGGAGGCTGGGTGAAATATTTATAGCAAAAGCTTTAGTCAAAATGTGCCTATTTTTAGTTGGTAAAATTGGAGTCTCTTTACTAAATGTCAATTTTTAGATACATTTAATCTGAACATGTTTTAGCACGACTACAGAAATGGGGCAAATGTTCACATTACTTTATCAGTTGGGTTGTTTTAATTTTTAAAAAATTGCAGTCACCGATCAGCATTTATAGGGCATTCTTCATGTAGAGCTGGAATAGTTCACATTTATGGTATGGACCTTGCCCCACAATTTTAGGAAAAGGTGGCAGCAAGAGAGAAAAATGATTTCAATGGGAACCCCAAAATGGAAGAAATGCAGGAAATTTTAAGAAGACACCCTTTTAAATTGTTCAATTTTGGCAGCTAGATCTAGTTTAAATGAGGTAGAAGCTGGAACATTAGGCTTATTTTTAATACAGGACTAAATTAGGGGAAAAATTGAAAATATGATAAAGCTTTCATGAGACCTTTAGGGGAAACCCTGCAATAAATATTACTGTCCTAATAGTTCTGGCAATGGGAATAAAGACATTTTCTGTGTTCCTGGGTTTAAGAATTAAGTTCAACACCTTTTGGCTGGGATTTCCAATGGAGCCTAAGGGAATTAGCCACCCCACTCCCAGTGACTTTCAATCCCAGCCTTTAAGCATGAGTGTATGGCCCAGCAATCTTTTAAAGTAAAATATTTATATAAATGTGTCAAAATGGGGTACAAAGGCAAGGCAAATTCAGAGTGAAAAAACTACTGATTAACTCATAAAGAAAACATGTGCATGCACCAGTCTGTGTAAATTGTCCAGCACACCCCCACTATTTTAAAAATTATCAGTCATAAATGATGATCAAAATGTTTAACTTACTTCAGTTCCAACAAAAAAGTTGGTGGCGATATTCTCCAGTATCTTAAGAGGTTTGGCTGAAGGGACCCTTAACTGCTTATAAGGATTTTCGTCTCCAAACGTTTCTGGTTTGATTTGGTATTGCATCTTATCTTGAAAAGAGTATGAATATAATCATTTGGTGTTATAGGGAAATTTACTAGATCAGACATCTTATTTTCCTTACAGGTAATTCAAGGGTGAGGGATTAGAACTTTCAAGAAATAAAGAAGGGAAGAAAATTCCAGAGAAGAGTGAACCTAGTATGGCATGGAAGGAACGTTCCCTTAACTCTAGTTGGGGGAAAGAGGCTGAGCACATACAGATTGCTAGCAATAGAAGGCAGGCTAAGCCGTACTCTTGTGGTGCCAACACTTTAGATTTTTCATAAAATCTCCCACAGTTGCCCACCACTGATGCAGCTCCACTAGTGGCAGCCACAGCGGGAGCACTAGAGTAGGCCAGTTTACACAACGCAGTGGTTAAAATGCCGATGACCAGTCTACACTAGTACTCCCAATGTTGCTACCCCGGCAGAGCTCTAACACTGTTGTAGCAATGGGAGAGGGTGATCACCCATCCTGAATTGGGTGGGACAATCCAAAATGCGGATTTCAAGACCCAGTCCCAGGCTGAATGACTCCGGGACGGCATTTGTCACAGATTCCCTGCAGCGCCCGCTCCGTGCCTTCCAAGGCTCAGGGGCAGCGTTAGCCTGTTCCAGGGTGGGGAGGGCTGAGTTTCGCCTTATCCCCCCCCTTTGTCATGAGGCCTTGCCCCTTCTCCTCCTCTTACCCCGTAAGAGTCCCTTCCCCCATGGCAAGGCCAGAAGCTGGAGCCAGGCCACGGTAAGAGCCGCCCGGAGCAGGTGGAGGACCCAGGGCTCCCCACAGCAGGCTGACTCTTACCATGGCCTGGCTCTGGCTCTGGCTTTCGGCCTGGCCAGGGGACAGGGACTCAGGGATAAGAGGAGGAGCAGGGGTGGAGTCACAGAAGGGGCGGGGCTCCTGCATGTGTCCTGCTTTTGCCTTTTGAAAAGGTGGTCACCCTAAATGGGAGAGGCTAAGAAAAACAGGATGTGCTTGTGGAGACAGTTCTGCTGCAGCCATGTAAATGGATAAGCAGGGTTGTGGGTCTGGGATGATAGACAGAAAAATCTGTCACTTGAGAATCCTAAGCACTGCTGGAAAAGGTGTGATGGAAAACCCTGACTTCAGAGCATAACTGAGTCTGGGCCCAATTCTATGAACATTTATGCACCCAAGTGGTCTCATTGACTTCAGTGGGACTATACAAATGAGTAAAATTTCTCTGGTATAGATGTATTTGCTCTCTAGATGGAGCTTGTTGGCTGCTAACCGTGACTGTATATTGGAATTAAAAACTACAGCAATATTTCTCTTGGTCTTTCTTTCATTTAGACCAAACTTGACTAGGCAATGTCCCTTTTAGCCTAAGGGGAAAAACATGATCACCAGTAATGAAATGTCTAATACTTGCTGGAGTCTGTGTTGTTCTAAAACGTGTTATGTATCTTGAGAACTTGATAAAGACAATTGACAATGAATTCTGTTGTCCCAGAATTCTTACTTTCCTTCTTTGACGAGGGCTCAGTAGCAAGTTAGAACTAGACAGCTGAAAGATTAGTGTGTCTCTTGCATTCTCTCATTTTTGGGGGGCATTTTGGGGGAATTTGAAGTTTGCTATGTGAATATTTTAAGGTAGTGAGTTTGTAGAATTATTTATAAACTTTTTATTTACACCAACTGCAGTTAGTAGTGGGCAGTACATAAATCTGATCCAGCACATCTTAGTAACAGAGTTGTAGTGCTTCAGAGTCAGTGTGGTAATGATTTCCAAAAGTATTTTTAAGGACACATGCTGTCCCATTGATACTAATTTGCTCCAAACCTTATAAACCCACCTGATGATCTTTCACCCTTCCAAATCTGCCTCATCCCCCTTCTGTTGCCTTCCCCATTCTCCAAAGACTTTAATGATTTTTCAATATTTTCCTTTTGATTGTTACTTTACCAATGCAGGGAGGAAGGATGGTCCACACATTAGCATAGGACTCAGAAGAATTGGGTTCAATTACCTGATCAGTCAGTGACCTGTGTGACCTTGAGCAAATCACTTAGCCTTTCTGTGCCTTAGTTTACCCCTCTGTAAAATGGGGGTAATAGCACTTCTCTACCTTTGATGGACATGTGAGGATAAATACATTAAAGATTGTGTGGCAGTAACACTCAAATACTATGGTAATGGGAGTTTACAAGTACCTAAGATAGCAAGATAGGTTTGCTCTCTGAATACTTTCTCTGAAAGTATTCTCGTACAGAGACTAATAATTTCTGCTGCAAAGTGAGCAAATAGAAGACTTGCCTAAGGAGTAGAAAATGAAGTAAGGAAAAGTTCATTTAAAATAAACCCGCAGATTAATACATTTCTAACAGTGGCTCTAAAGGAGGAAATCACACATAGTACTGACCAAGGCTCAATTCACTTTGATGGGAGTAAGTACTCCTGAGAAAAACAGCTTGCTAGTATAACTTCTAATGAGAGCTGATAACCTGTGACCCATTGGTAGAGATTCTGTTCTTCTCATATTGTATGTGCTCATTACCTTCAGTGCCATGATATACCAGTAAATTTAGGAAAACAGATCCATTTGTTACAGTATATTTATGTTGCTTATCTTTTATTCTATATACAGAGAAAAATCATCTTATGAAAATACTTATATCTCAAAAATATAAACTGAAAATATTACCTTGCATTTTGTAATGGAAATGCTCTTCCACTAGGCTAATTTTAGTAGGACTATAGTCTCCACTTGTGTCGCTCTTGGATAGGTTTGCCTGTTTAGTACAAAGGGAGTATTTGATAACTCATTTTGTCAAACACTCGAAGCATATGGCTAAATTGCTTTCTGTTGTAATGGTAAAGACCTGTCAGTCTGAAGTGCATTCTTCAGATTCCACAAACCCTGGCTTCCGCCCCCTTCTTTGCTAGCAGTAGTTAAAATGTGACTCAGTGGTCCAGTCTACATTATGCTTTTCCCCCTAAAATTTCTCACTGTTGCCACTTCAATGTCAGCTCCACTGGTGGTAGCCCCAGTGGCCACTCGTGTTTTAACAAAAATGTCTCTAGACCTGCTCTGACCAGAAGAGACAACCTGCTGGTAAAAATGCTCGTATACATTACTACTTCCACTGCAGCCTGCGTTTATTCAGAAATTCTTAGATCATTTTAAAGTTCTTGTAAGCTAAGTTTGGAAAGTATTTGTCCTATTCTGTTGATGTTATAGGGATAAAATATGGTCTTCCCCTACAAGAATCACAACAAAATTAAAAGGAAAATCACAATACTGTGAACATTTACATGGTAAGTTTTGGGGTGAGGGGGTGGAGAGTGAGCCTGTATACACTCACCCCACAGCAGTGGCTTCTATCCTGCAGGTCTGGACTTGGCTCCCCACTCCGGGCATTGTGACCTAGTGCACAGGGTCACAGTGCCACTCAGTTTGACCAGTGGGATTAGGGTTGGGCTACTGGGGCAGAGGGTGCTTCTGCAGGTGGTTGGTGCCCTGTTGGCAGGGCAAAGAGGCAGCAGCAGTGAAGGGATTTAGGTATATTGTCTCTGAAGAGGTAGAACTGCATTTTCATACCTTTCCCCCTAAAACCATGACTTTTTTTTTTACTAAATTTAGCATGACTGCACTGTGGGTTTTTTTATTTAAAAATGCCATGACAATTCTGCAAGATTATACATTATATACAGTACCTTAATGAGAGGTCTCCAGGAGAGATCCAGATGTTTAAAAGTAGTCGGCACATCAGGGGGAGCCTCAATAGCCTTCTCATCTTTTGCCTTCTCAGTTGAATTCTGAATAGTAGTTTTGGGGGCTCGAAGATCCCAAAATAATAGGGAGCTCCACAAAACCAGAGATTGTAGATTATTGCTCTTCGTATGCTTAAAAATCATTTTAACTTTTCAATGAGCTTTTGTATAATATTTTTTTTTATCTTCTATCTTCAAAATTAGTATAGGAATAGATGCAAGAGTTTGGAGAACTAGTTTATAGCTACTTTTGTACACTAGGGCATATAGTTACTCCACATTTTGTCCTCACTCTGTTTTTAATCATATACTGTAGCTAAATAAGCATCATACAGTTTGTTTAAGAAAACTACATACTCAGTGGATGAAATGCACTCCCTTGCATACAGGGCCGGC